CATCCCACGTATACCTGTCTTGCATACAATATGTCTATATATATATATACACCTATGCACACATATTGTCTTTAGTACATGCAGGGCTGGATCGACGGCTCGGAGTCGGAGGAGGTGATCTTTGAGGACGAGGAGGGAGCCGGCGAGCGGCGTGCGAGTGGGAAGGTTGCAGATGCGTGTTTGGCGTATTGTGGGTTGATTTTAACGAGTAATACCGAGGTGCCAAACCAAACCCAAATGTTTTTGGGCTTGGCTGTTGGAAGGCAAGCTGAAAGGAAATTGCAAGGGATCGCGGAAATTGCTTGCTTGCCATGGTTGGGAGTGCCGCCCGCTACTTGTCCAAGTATATAGAACACTTTCTTTTCGGGATGGACCCAGGTATGTAATGTCACAAGTCTCTCTCTCTCTCTCTCTCTCGGTCGGCTAGACAGGCTTACATACTAGAGGTTTACCAAAGAACTTCAGCCTTTTAGGGGCACCCAACAATTGCCTTTTGCGGTGTGATCTGTAGATAAATTCCACAGTGCGCTTTGTGCGTCGAGGAGCAGCCACAAGCATCGGAATGGGTCGGCCAAGGGCCACCCTCGCCGCTGCCGCCCCCGCCCTCTCCACCTTCCCCGGCCTCCCCTTGTTTGGCACCATGGCTCAGGCTGCCAGCACCCCCCTCGCCCAAGAAGTTGAAAACAAAGGCGCCAAAGGCCATACCCGCCAAGGCCATGCCCAAGCCACCGGCAAAGGCCATGCCCAAAGCCAACACCCCGCCTGCACCGGCGCCTCGCTGTTCGCTGCCGCCGCCGCTGCCGCCGCCGCCGCCGCCGCCGCCGCCGCCCGTGGCGCCCGTGTTGCCCGCTGTGCCGACCACGCCTCCCAAGAGCCGACCGATGCCGGCAACGCCGCCCAAGAGGCCGGCCACGCCGCCCCGGTTGGCGCCAGCGCGGGCATCTGACATGCTCAAGCGCAAGCTTAGCCAACTTTGTACAGGCAGGATTGGGCGGCATCAGATGGTCACTGGCTAAGTCGTCATCGGCTGAAGCAAACGTGTTGCAAGCGTGTGCAATGTTTCCAGCGAGGTGTATCAAATGACACAGCATGGCGGTGGCAAGGACACGCGGCGCTTATTCACGCTTGGTTCATGCTCCACCAAAGACCTGGTCACCTTGCCGTCCACAGGAATGGCCATGAGCACTTCGCCTTGGAGTGATTGTGCATGCGAGCCGCGGCGCTTGCAGTCATAGGAATAGTCATGAAGTCATCATGCATCACTTATTGTACGTCAATCACGTCAAGCAATGGGCAATGATCCGAGTTTGTTGCTGAGAAGTCTGGCACAGCAAATGACGTATACGTAGGTTGCCACGCATTCCCGCTTTGCCCGTGTCGCCAGGGCAAGAACACCCGTGGCGGCAGGGTCAAGGACACAGGCCAGGCAAGTCGATCGCAGCACTCGACCTGGAGCCATTTCCTCGACAATGCATGCCATCTCAGTTTTGCTGGGCATACCTCGGGCCTTGCAAGACATCCAAACCTTTTCTTTGTTGGCACGCCCGGACAGCCATATCCATGACAGGTTTTTTCAGCCCTCCGCTGATTCCTCGCTTCCCCAACGGCATTCGCGTTCGAGGGCCGGCTGACTTTTGAAGATGGTTCAGTTGAAAGGGTCAACATTGCCCATCGTTCAATGGTACCCCTTAGCTACAGTCTGATGGTAGAGTTTGGGAGATCTTGGCGGAAAACAAGCTCGTTGCACAGGAAGGTGGAGCCCATCAAAAGAGTGCTCTGATTCTTTGGTTTCGTGTCAATGGCCAGGCATAGGGGGCCATTTCGCTCAAGCGAACATGCATCAAAACGAGCTTGGACTGGCATGTTGGGCTTCCTTTGAAGCGAACTTTCATATCCTCGTTCAGACTAAGAGAGGCAGGGCCGTGACCTTCTCGGTACCCGCCGGCTCATCAATCGACAGCACACAGTAGCATTGGCACATTTGCATCCATATGTGTGGAAACAAAGCCACTGCAAACTAAGATGTTTTTCCAAGCTTGGACGTTTGGGTTTCCTTTCATGCTGGGTTTCATGCTGATTGCCTTTTTAAGTTTCTTTGTTGGGGGCCCAACTGGAGTTGAGATGTTTTGATGACGCTGTGCCAATGGTTCGGCTTCCCCGTGCTTGGGATCATTTGATCCGAGGTCCCCGACTCATCGCGCCCAATTTCAGCCGGCGAGGCGCTTTTGGCACGCTTGGCATGACTCAAAGCTAGTAGAGGGTGTGTGCGAGCTGCCGGGATGCCACCAAGTTTCGAGGCACCTTTCGATAAGTCGTCACAGAACAAGCGCTTGAGGCATGAGGCGTTTTGGGGACTGGCTGAAAGATACCTTGACGGAATGGGAGAATGGCTCAAACCAGACCCAAATGGCCTCCTTTTCAGCGGAAAGCCTCATTGATGTTTGAGCAACAAATGCGTATGCAAACATTGGTGGTTGGCTGGTCCACCAGTCACACAAGGCTGCTTTTTCGACAGTGCGCGGCCGTCGGACTGTTCTGCCCTGTCGCAAGGTGGTCCAGAGATGTGCGGCAAAAAAGAGACGCGGCGCTTCCGGGTGAGACAGAATATCCCCTACCAGCCATTCATGTATCAGGTCGGGCCTGGATCGGCTTTTGCCAAGCCCGGAATCGTCCATACAGGCTGGGGTTCCCTTGTTTTACCCCCATTCCTTCAGTTCGATCCCCTCTCCCTGTTGCAACCCCCTACAGGCTGCCCCTTCCAGCCAGCAGAAAGATGTTTTAGATGCCGGTGCCGCTTTGCGAGCTCCGGGTGTGATGGTGGTGGCAGGGCTTTAGTTTGTGCTGAAAGCTCAGGTACTTCTCAGGAAGGCTGCAGGCTTTGGTGTCCGAACACAAAATATCTGTTTCCCTTGTGAATCACACATCACTTGGAAAGCCAAAATCATGCCCAACCAGATAGGGGAATGTTTGGTTCACTTGGCCCCTATTCTTTTGAGCAAGCGAGATGATCATTCTTCTATCCTTCGTTTGGCGAGGGCGCGGGGTCCCATCCGCAAAATTGGTGCCGGTCGAAGACTAGACCCGACTTTCTCGCATGGCGACTTCCAGCAAAGATAAAAGTAAATGTCGCATCATTCTAAGCATTTCAATCATTGCAGTCCTTGCATTCACTTGGACAGTTCCAAAGAGGAGTCGAGAAGGGGAGCCAAACGCAAGGCTCAGGATCTTGATTTTAATGTCCGTGATCTGGGTTCGTCTCTACATTCATGGACCTCTACATATGCCTGGTTTCCTTTCGGTTGTTCTTTGAAGCCAACCAAGACGAGTCCCCCCCCCGACATCCCCTCATGTCTTTTGTTAGGGGACCCCCAAAATGGTGGGTGTCCCTCCAAAACCAAACAACGGGCACCCTCCAAAATAGCAACACACACACACACACACACTGCAAAATCGCTCCGTGGCGCGTCCGAGGCCTAGCGGCGCTGCCTCAAGCGCCGCTTTCTTTGGAGGCGGAGGGTTTACCGAACATCGGCAGCTGTAGCAATGAGGATGGTACCCATTTGGGTGTGGCTCAATATTAGAGAGCTAGGGTTACGCAGGCTTTGGTCTCTGGTTCCACTTATATCAAGGTATATCAAGGTGCGATTTTGGCACATGTTTTTGAGCCACAGCCATTTGGGTGGCTCGTCTTTTTCTAAGACCCCCAGAATGGCGCAATGATTTCCTCTTGGGCTTCCCTTCAGAACCAACCAAAACGGGTACCCCCGCAAAACAAAGACAGACCTCTTTGACACCATTTGAATGCTGTTTGATCGACCACCTACGTATATAGTGCGAAGTGGAAGGAGGTGGAGTCCTAGGGATGACACGCGATTTGAATGCTGGTCCAATCGTGGATGGACAAAGTGCTGCACTTGGAATGGATGAACCCATGAACCCGATTTGAAAGCTGGCTGATATAAACCACCACACATGGGGGGATGTGGACGGTAAAACGTTGATCCCCAAAGGATGGTGAACCACTGGCTGTCAAAAAGTAGACCTGTCAAGAATATGTTCGGTGTTATGTTGGTGCTCCCTATCATGTCAAGTCGGTTACATGGCTTATTTGAATTGGATGCTGAATGGGAGGACTCGCTGAATGGGGAAAGACGGGGGCAACCATCGGCCATTGGGAGGCATGCCATGGTCCAGCCATCTCTGATTCGTCAACACCATGGTTGTTCGTAGCACGGAAAGATATGGGTGTTTCTCAAAATAGGGGACCCCTTTTGCATGAACCGACTTTTGTTGTTTGTGGCACCTCTGACTATTTTGTTGCGCCGGTTAGGTCGCTTTAAATTTCATGGCTGAGAGGCTGAGAGGTCGTTTTTGCTCGGACCCCACCGGAGGCCTCGCCGGCAGGCCGAGAGGGGTGGATGAAGCTTGGGCGTTGCTTGGGGAGGGCTGGGAACCCTTCCTTGGAGCGCTTTGCCTTAGGCGACATGAGAAAGGCTGTAAGGAGATGGTTTTGGGGAAAAGGCTCATCAAATGGCGCCGAGTACGTGGTGGTTGCTCACCACCTTCACAAAGGCTGCTCACAACCGATTGACCGCTAAGGCTGACCCTCAAGTCGGTTCTGTGGCCGAGTTCAGCGGCTTTGAGTCACACCCGAACAGTTGGCTTTTCAGTTTGACCCGTTTGGCTGATGGGAATTCTGTTCCAGTTATCCCCTTGGCAGGTGATGATGAACATAACATGGAACATCCGAGCAGAGAAGACGTGCATCATGGCAACATACTTCTGAGGCTTGCAGGGAGCCAACAACATGTGGCAAGTCTCACGCACAAGACCTGCAGAGTTTGACGTGACTTTGAGACGTGGGAAGGCTGACGGCTTCTTTTATTTTGCGGCATCGCCAGGCTTGGGTTACACTTGGCTTCTGCTTTCGACCTTAGGTTGGTGACTTCCAAAGCCACAGGGGCAACTCACTTGGCCCACGCTGCCGCCACTTGCCGTCAGGGGCTTCGAGAGTCCAGGCGGATGGGCATTCGTTCAATCGCCCGGTTCCAGACACGGACGACTCACGGTGATTCGACCCGCGCAGGGAAGGGGGTGTTGGTCTTGGCAAACCAGCTTTTCCAGAATCATCGAATCAGGCTGGGAGAGGAAGTCTAGCATTGGGAGAACATGGGTGACCGACGGCCAAGCCAATTTTGCCGAAGCCCAGGGGCACAAAATCGCACACGGCACACGTTTCGCGACAACCCACTGTTCTCACTGTTCCCGCTTAGGAGAGCATGACATTTTTTGTTTTTGGCACAACTGAGGGAGGTAGTGTTTTGTATTTTACTAGGTCTGTTTTTTTTTTTTTAGGTCTGGTGTTGGGTTGGTGGGTTGGTGGGTTGGTGGGTTGGTGGGTTGGTGGGTTGGTGGGTTGGTGGGTTGGTGGGTTGGTGGGTTGGTGGGTTGGTGGGTTGGTGGGTTGGTGGGTTGATGGGTTGGTGGGTTGGTGGGTTGGTGAGTTGGTGGGTTGGTGGGTTGGTGGGTTGGTGGGTTGGTGGGTTGGTGGGTTGGTGGGTTGGTGGGTTGGTGGGTTGGTGGGTTGGTGGGTTGGTGGGTTGGTGGGTTGGTGGGTTGGTGGGTTGGTGGGTTGGTGGGTTGGTGGGTGGGTGGGTGGGTTGGTTGGTTGGTTGGTTGGTTGGTTGGTTGGTTGGTTGGTTGGTTGGTTGGTTGGTTGGTTGGTTGGTTGGTTGGTTGGTCGATTTGCGTTGGGTGTGCTGCTGGTTTAGCAGCGGCTCTAGAGTTGCTTTAGGGTGTGGTGAAGAGAGTTTTGGTCGAGTTTTGGTGGTTTGGGGCAACGCTCCAAAACCAACCCTAAACTCGACCAAAACTCTCTTAACCACACCCTAAAGCAACTCTAAAGCCGCTGCTAAACCAGCAGCACACCCAACGCAAATCAGCTCCAAGCCACCCCAAACCCACTAAAAGTCAACCCTAAACCCGCCCAACAGCAGCCTGGATGTCAGCCCTTCGCTTCGCCCAAATCAACCCCAAACCACCCCAAGACCCACCCTCATGAAGATCTAAGCCAGCCAAAACCCCCCTAACCCCAGCAACTCCCAACTGCCACCCAATCAGAGCCAATAGGCAACCCCAGGTCCAAGTGATGTTGGTGATGCCGGGGATGTTGGCAGCTTTGCGGTGAAAAGCCGGACCTAGTAAAACAAAAAAACACCTCCACCCACAACTGAGGGTCGTTTAAGATGATGTGACTTTTTGTTGTGGCACCGGTGCCCTCTTGCTCCCCAACAAATGCTCATGGGGTAAGATGGGCAAGAGTATCCGAATATCGTTAAAAGAGAGCCCAACGTGCCCCTACTTCAAGTACAGGTGTTTTCCATGGGAATGTTGATTCCTTGCTACTGAATGCCGCAGGAAGTGAATGATAGAGCGTTTTTGTTGAACTTCGGCTGGCCTGGCGCCTGTCCTTTGTTTGGGGCCGCTTGGCCAGGCTCCAGCGTGCACATTCCTCATCCCGGGGCACCCGCAACTGTGTGTCCTGAATGAGCGCCAATTTGGCTACCAAAACAAATCCAAACAGACCCAAAAGCCCGCCCAAACACCAAGGCATGTCTGTGCCAAAGCCAATTGGTTGAGTTTTCTCCCTCACTATGTTGGTCAAAGCACCCATCCTGCGCCAGGAATCACCAGGCCAGCCGGGCGGGTGGGTGGGGTGGGAGGCTGGCCATTTTCTACCTCAGCCGTTTGTGGATGTGGCGCTTTGTTGACCTTCACTCTTATTTCTTCTACTTGATCTTTCGTGGAGTTGCATGGACCAATTACCTCAAGCCGTTCCGCTTTCTGGCCATTTCCGACATCCGGCCGGCTTGCAGCGCCGAAGCTGCAGCTTTTCCACCGATGTAACCACAGGTTTGGCCAAACTGCCAAACTCGATGTTGCAACCGGCCCCCCCTTCCCCCCCTCCCCCAAACTGTGCCAGTCCTTTTGTTGCCAGCGCTTGCTGCCTCTTTTTTTTCTGTTTCCCCTTGGTTTGCTATTTTCTCATCCTATGCTTCGTTTTCCTCCGGGGCCAGGCCGCACGCCTTCCCCGGAGGAGGAGGTCTCCGAGGCACGCACGAGGGGGGGGGAATAGCTTGGGACGCTACTTGGGGTACGGCGGATGCCCTCAATATGCAAGTACTGCAGGAAACAACGGAAGCCCTGTACATTCAACCAGTTTGTGGTTGGTTTACTTGCAATATGTTGGGCATCCAGCGTAGCGTTGAGATCTGTTTTGATCAGGTTTGCCAGTCAAATGAGATCAATAACGCACATGTTCGGAAGTGGATGGCACGAAAAGCATGGTAGTGGTTTGGAAGATTGGCATGCAGCAACCCATGTTAAAAGCAGCCAACACATCAACTCGTGATGCTGGTGGGGTGAGGAAGTGATGCAACCCGTCCTGTTTTTTTGGCTGGAATTTATGGGTCCACACTCCCCAAGCCTGGGGCAGGGCCCTTTCTAACTTTTCAAGCCAGTGAGAGGCGACCTAAACTGATGAACCAAGGCCGTTTTTCTCCGGTTCCCCTTTGGTTATCACCAGGCTGCGCAAGGGTTCCAACCACCTTCCCCACGACGGGTCTGCCAGGAGCCCTGCTTACCAGATCAGTCCGGTGGCCGTCCCGGTGATCCGTCGGGTACCGCGATCCGTTTCGGCCATTTTAGGGAACATGGCTGTGGTCTTGTCCGTTTCTGACATTTCTGTTTGCTCCACAGAACTGGACAGGACAAACCCGGGTTCTTGCCGTTGCCAGCTGATGTTTGGAATTTGGTTGTTATTTGCCCGCTTCACCCCAGCTCTTTTGGTGAAGAGTACGGACCTGGAGCAGGGAAATTGGGCCGATCGCTTTGCTTGAAATTATTTTTCACGTCGTCATGGAAGCATTCGGGACACGCCATGCTTCTTACGTTTGGCCAGAGAGATTCGCAATGTCTGGGCATCTCCAGGGATCAACCTCGATCTGTTTTCCAATCACGCAGGAAGCCCATAAATGACCGCCTGAGGTCGCCGAGATCAGGCAGATCAGCTGGAGCAGCTGGATCAGCCAGAGCCAGATCCAACTGATGAGCCAGAGCCCACTGAGGCATTCGGGGGGAGGCAGCACTGGCACTTGTTTCATTAAGCTGTCACCTTGAGAGCTGAACTTCGGAAATTTGGTCCGCGAGCCGACTGGGAGCGGACCTTTTGGATTTTGTCTCCCGAGGGTTGCGGAGTTCGTCCACGTTTCGGTGACTTCGACCGCGGGTTGCGCCCATTGGATCCAAGTCCTTTTGGCCCCCCGAGCCCCTGCAGGCACCGGCGCCGCCCGAGGCGCCGCCGGAGCCGCCGGAGGCGTGCGTGTGTGTGTGTGTGTGTGTGTGTGTGTGTGTGTGTGTGTGCGCGTGTGTTTTTTTTCTTTTCGTGGTGCAAGCTTTTCGGGGGGAGAGACATTTGGGTCGGAAACAAAGATCCTGAGATTTGGCAGCCTTAGCCAGGTTGTGAAGAGGAAATCACTTGAATGTGGGCTGTGCTTTTTGACATTTATATTTTTTAGCAGCAAGTTTGAGGGTGGGGAAGTGAGTACTTCGAAGCGGATTGAAGGATTCGGCTCACAAAAGCTGGGACACCTTAAAGGGAGTTTCAACTTAGACATGCCTTTCCCATTTCAAAGTGACCACCCTCTCAACTAACACATCACTTCACAGAACCTGAAGGGTTTGCCTCCTGGAAGATATGATCAACCTTCATTTTACCCGAGCTTCTTCGCCCGGGTCCCCGACTCGGGTTGAAGGGGCGCGTGTCAGGTGCTGCTGCAGCCGCCGCCGCAGCAGCAGCGGAAGGCCGGCCGGTTGCAGAGGCTGAGGTCGGAGGGAAGCGCTGAACGAAAAGTTGGTTCCTCAGTCCTCTTCTCCAATTTGGGGTAGCTCAATGGCTGATATGAGCCAAACCTTAATGTGTCCGCCTCCAGTTCCGGATTTTTCGGGCAACATGTCATACTGTGTGTCAGATAGATCTTGCTGCTCCAAACATCTCCAGTCAGACTTGTTCGAGGGCTCCTGAGTGACAGACCTTAACCCCCCCCCAGGGTTCATGAAGATTGCAGCAGACACGGAATCAGTGTGCGAGGACGACCAGCAACTCCCAGGCCGGAAGCCGAGATTCGGGATTGCTTTGCGGAAGCGAGCGAGGAGGGGAGCAAATGTTCTTTGGATTTATCCGGATGACTCCCAACAGTCAGAGGGAATCAACTCTCCCCAAGGACAAGAGCTGTTTGAAGAGTCTGGAGGGGTCTATATCACCTGTGCACCGCACATTTTCCAAGTGCGTCAGCGCTGGAGCGTGTGCCAAGGCAGGCAGACGCACCAAGGGGCCAAACTCCTGGAGGCTGGGTTGGTGACGACTCCAATTTTCCAGCAGGCCTAACTTTTGGGGAAAAACTAGGTGGGGGTCTTATGACAGCCAAGCAGGCGATACCACTCAGCGCCGGCCATGCGCAAACTCTGTTCGGGGGAAATTCGGGTTGGCAGGAAAGAGAAAGAAATTCACACGCCAGAGAGCAACAAGATGGAAAGCGAGGCGCTTCAGCGATGCGCGGAGGGGAGGGCGAGAAGCTTCGCCTCCGCTCAGAAAGGTCGAGATTGAAGGTGCCAATGAACAAGTGCTGGAGTGCACAAATTGGACACGGCGAACACCGAGGCCATGCCGCAAAGCGGTGACCATCCTCCGGGCAGAAACTGCGCGCAACATCGCAAGAGAAGTGGGGCAATGGAGCCAAGGCGATGGCGATTGGACAGATCCCCAACTCAAGCTTTCTTGATGGTTGTCAGTATCAGGAGAACCATTGGGGTCTTAGAGTTTAGTATTTATTTCACCCATGTGTCAGGTTCCCTGAGGAGCCCTTGAAACTTTCATTTGAGGCACCCCTTTCCCGTGGCGAAGGTGTCTTCAAAAGGCACGGCTTTTATTATTGGCAAAATAATCTGAAGGACGCCAACTCTTGCTCGCCTCCCTCAGAGTGCGCGCGCGCTCTCTCTCTCTCTCTCTCTCTCTCTCTCTCTCTCTCTCTCTCTCTCTCTCTCTCTCTCTCTTTGTTTTAGAGGCGTATACATATATATATATATATATGTTGCTAGTTTGTGTGCTAGCACCACCCCCGTTAGTTGGTTAGCTGGAAGATCCATCAGCCAGCCTTCCATTAACACATCCATCCATCCATCCATCCATCCATCCATTCATCCAGCCGGCCAGCCAGTGTCTGGCTTTCCCACCAGGTGCAGGCCACAGGCATTTTCGGGCCGCAACAAGGCAAAACACAAAACAAAACATCACGTAACAGCTCATTCTCATTCGTAACTGTGCGCGCACTCCAGGCTTCTTTCTCCCTGCCCTTGGTTGCTCCGACTGGCGCAGATTTACAGGCAGAGAAAGCGGTCTTGAACCCACGTCGATGAAAACCATGGCAAATCCGAAATGGCAGCCTGAGCCTCATCACCGGGCGCTTATGGCCCAAGGAACAAGACCGCGCACAGACGGCGAATCAATGGCGCAGAAGCCAGCGTCTCCCACCCTGAAACCTGCAAATGCTGCACCCTGATCACTTCCACTGGCATACAGTCTCAGGCCTTGCAAGGTCCACCCGCAAGCGGTAGCTCTTCAAGGGTTGCAGCTGCAGAGACCACAAGCCATGAGCACTCAATGTCGGACCTCTGCGCTCCGCTGATCACTGGCTTGGCACGGCTGTGCGTTCAAGACTTTGCGAGTAGACCTCTCGCCTTCATCTTTGTCACTTTGGTCCTCTTCATCAGAACTGCACATCCCCGACATAGGATTCTCTAGACAGTGTTCACAATTCTTTGGGGGTCGCAGCCTAGGTTAGGGATACAGATGTCGACCTCGTCGTCAGCAAAACACATGCACTGTTCAAACGAAGTCTCAGTTATATAAGAGCTTAGCAATCGCACTTCCCTCCTTTCCGTTGAGGTCGTGGAAGATGGGGTGGGTGGGTGGGTGTGTGGGTGTGTGTGGGTGTGTGTGTGTGTGTGTGTGTGGGTTTGTGGGTGTGTGGGTGGGTGTGGCTGGATGGCTGTGTGGCTGGCTGGCTGGATAGGTCCATTACCCCTCTGCCTTTTTTGAGGCCTGGGGACTGCTATTTGGATTTCAGGCGGACATTCATGGATCCAAGATTGCTTCCAAAAGTTCCCCGCACAATGTTGGGCTTTGGATCTGGGTCCGGGTGTCACTCGTGGATCCAAGATTGCTGCAAAAAGCCCCACGAATCTTGGATCTGGGATCTTGGACTGGTTGTTTGAAGTCTAAATGGGTGATCATAATTTTGGCATCCCTCTTCTCAGCGCCCAAGCTTTTGTGTTTTCAAGCATCGAGAAAAACGTGGCACCAATTCAGAGAAATGGGGGGGGGACCTGTGCGCGTGCGTGTTTTGGTTCTTTCTTGTTTTTCCATTCTTTCTTCGTTCTTTTCCATTCTTGCCTTTTCTTTCCCTTTCTTTTCCATTTTTTTCTTTCTCTTCCTTTCTTGTCCTATTTGTATTCCTCTTTCGCTCTTTCCCTTGGGTCGTTCTTCCTTCCTTCCTTCCTTCCTTCCTTTCTTTCTTTCTTTCTTTCTTTCTTTCTTTCTTTAGAACCTGAGCAAAGTCACTTGCGCAAACTACGCTAGGGCTGCAGCTTTAGCTTAAAGAAGCCTAGTGCGGTTCAGGAGCGCGGCGCTTTGCTTCAGGGCCACCCTCCTGGAGGCGATACGTGAATTTTAACGAAGGACGCTCTCCAACAGGGTTGAAAGTAGGGCATAAATGGCCATGACATTTCATAGGGAACCACCTCAAAAGTGAATGGCGGACATGAATCCTCACCTGAAGAATGTCCACCAAAGGGTCCCTTATTAAAATTCATACCCAAATGCACAGCATCGACAAGTCCCCACGGTAAAACCTCCCACCACACATCCCATCACAAGTTTTGCCAATCGCTCGCAGGCCAGCAGCCGTCGCCTCCGGGAGAAGATGCAGGTTCTCCGCCTGGAGAACCGGCGCCACCGAGGCGGCGGGTTGGCGAAAGGCAGACGTGTTGGCTATATGGCCATGGGTCAAAATCCAAATCGTACCCCCAGTGAACATCCCATTCCCACCAAAACAGACTAAAGTGGGTGGTACACCTACCCCAAACTGGTACCATTGGTTTTGACCCACAGCCATATGCTGTGAAGACGCTGCAGCGCAGCCATGACGTTGGCATCTGCTCAGAATCGTCACGCCTTTTTTTGTTTTTGAATGATTTGGACCGAATGCCAGATGTTGGAACGTCTTTCCGGTCTTTGGCGGCGCACGCGCGCGCAAGACACTTGTGCGCCTGGGGCTCTTTGGGGTGGCCCCGGCTTTTGGATTTCCCCCCCCCCTTCCAGAAGTTAGGAAGTGTCCCGAAGCGGCTTAGCGGCGTATTTGGGCAACTTCACATGCTGGCCACTGGTGGATTTGATGGCCTTGTGTTTCTTCTTTTTTCAACAGATCACCTACAGCTGGGTCTATCAGAATCTTTCACACCGCGGGGCCGTGTATTAAAGCCAGCGGCATTTGCAGATTGCAACAGTTTCCTATTGTTTGTTCTTGATCCATCCGTCGGATATCCGGCTTGCTTGGACATCGCAGCCCCGATTCCCCCTCAACAAATGGCCACGTGAAGTACTCGACCCCTCCCTCGTCGCCGCCAGTCCATCCTGCGAGCCCACGCTACGAGCCCTCCGTGGGGGGCCCTGGCAGGTGAACCGAAGGAGCAACCCTTTGACTTTTGACCTTTGCACGTCTCAGTTTTGTGGAGGTAAGAACCACCCGGCAAAGGCCCAGCACTTGCTGCCTGCTCGCCCTCTAGACTCTAACCTGACACAGCCGACCTCTTTTTCGGTGGACCACTTGCAAATGAATGTTTGTTTTTCCCCTGGGTTCTTATGGTCCACTTTTCCATGCCATGCACTGCGACCATAGATGTTGGAGGCGCAGAACTGCAGACTGCGCAATGTCCAAGTTGTGTTCTGCGTTTTTGACGCTTGTTTCTGTTCTTCTTGTCCTTTGGACATCTCATGTCCCCTCCCACCAACTAACATGGAACCCGACATTCGGGGGTCCTGGAGGACCATGCTTTTAAAGGGACGGGGTCCCTGTCAGGTTTCATGTGAATCGGTGGGAGAGCATACAGCGCGCGACTTTCAGGTGGAGGAAGCCTCCGAAGCGCCGCACGGGACCGGTCTGGGTTTGCGCCGCCTCAAAACCGGGGGGGGGGGGATGGATGGATGGATTTTTACCAAACGGAAAGCCAACAAAGAAACGGGTGACTTATGGGGGTGTCGTTGTTTAAGGTTGGTCTCCCCCAAAATGGATTCGGTTTTCCTTTGGGTTTTCCCTTTGAGACCAAACCAACAAGGGGTACTGTCAAAAAGAGAGACGCCCGCATACTTTGTTTCCAGACCCCCTGCACTCCTAGAACACCGGGCCCATCCTGAAGCGGCAGTGAAGGGGAGCCGTGTAGGTAGATATCACCCCTACTTGATGGGCAAAGGAGCCAACGCAGCCAGGAGTCCACATACATGTACACATGACACGGGTGTGTATATATATACACATAGTAATTCATGTTTTTATTTATTTCTGCAATATGTAGACCATAAGACATGTGTGTACACCTTATCTATCTATCTATCTATCTATCTATCTTTCTATCTATCTATCTATCTATCTATCTATCTATCTATCTATCTATCTACAGATATATATATATATATATACAATGTCATATACATGACCCAGTTCTTTGAAGGAATGGCCTTGGCAAAAGACACCCTTGGCAACTCACGACTTGCGACCATTGGCCAGGAGTTGCAGTGTGGAGGCACAAAAGCGTCTGGAGGCGTCTTGAGGGGAGTTGGGGAGGGGGGGGGGCGTTGAGCGTGTCTTACGGGGAATCCTCAAACTCTCAAACTGGTGGTTTGCCCTGTTGGTTTCCTTTAGAACCATCCGTTAAAGGTTAGTTGGGACAGCCAATTCGCTTGCGCAACCACAGAGGGATTGGTCAACTGACCTGGGGGTTGTGATGTGGGCAAGTCACGAAGTCGGCGTGAGTTCAACCAAATGTGGTAATTCGAGACTGACTTACTTGCGCCAAGGGATGGTGGGGAATATGTTGTTCCCCACCGAGTCATCTCAGAAAACCGTTGCCCAACATGCCCAAAATCACTGCCCGCTCCCTCCCGGTTCCCTTCTACTTTGTGATCTTGACAATCACATCCGAAACTACTGCGGATGGACGAGATCCTGTACCACTTTGCAACTATGGGCAACCGTTGTTTGTCGGCATTTTCAGGGGAAGGTCATTTCGTCCAGGGTTTCACATCCAAAGCTACTGTGGACGAACTCCTGCACCACTCTGCAACCGGAGAAGGTCATTTCGTCCAGGGTGTCTGCGTGGTGCGCAATGGATTTCGCCCGTAGACTCCGTGCCTCGCCCGGGTTTTCCATCCCCCGACCAGCGGCGTGTCCGCTCGCCAGGAGCTGCGGCGCCGGGTGGCGGCGCTGGAGGCGCGGGAGCGCGCGGAGAAGCAGCGCCTGAAGTTGGAGCAGGAAGAGGCCCAGGCGGGCTGCGGGGCAGTGCGGGGTGCGGGGTTTTGTGGGGAAACCCGGGGTGTTCTCCGCCAGCGGTGTGGTGTTTTGGGGGAAGTACGGGGGTGGTTTCCCGGTGTTCTCCGCAGCGGCGTGGGTGCTTTTTGTTTTGGGGGAGGGGGGAGCACAGGGAATGTTTTTCCTGGAAGAGAGAGAAACCAAGAAGGGAACGGAAAAAGAGGTAGACCCACATGAGGTATTTTGTTGTTGATTGGGTAACCCTTTTTTGGTTGGTTGTTTTCGAGGGGAACACGGAAGCTCTGTCAATTGGGTCCTTCTTCCTTTTTCGGGCAGACCGAATTTGGGTTGGTGGTGTAGA